TTACTGTTAATATGGATGCAATAATAAAAACTGGATTTGAGAAAGTAAATCACCAAATAACTTTTCAACCAGGCATTGAGTCGAATGGAAAAGCTTTAGTAGTGGCAAGTGTCAAAAAAGAATGGAAGAATTATGTGGAAGAATTAAGAAAAATAAAATACCATAAATAATGCTAATGCATAAATTAGCAGGTTAAGCCCATGATATCATCATATTGGTTTTTGTAACACTAAAATACAATACCCCATTACACCCAAATTTTCCACCCTAATATAATCAAAAATCATCATCATACAACCAATCACCAATAATCCAAATAAAACCTCCACCCACATCCAAAAAAACACAAAACAAATTAAAAATATTTTTACAACCATCACTCTAACTTTATATTAATTAACACAAAATAACCACAAAACCATAACCCAAAAAAAAAAACTAAATAACCCACCCTACATAACCACTTTACCCCCTCAACCATCAACAAAAAATAAAAATAACCTCAACCATCAACAAAATCTATGTCACACCACACCCCCCCCTAACATACAATGTCACCCCCTCACTAGTTCACCTATACACCATAACCCCCCCCTCCCCCCCCTTATCCCCCACTTTGTAACTCCCATGTAAATTCCCCTCTCAAACATACAACTACACCCCAATCCTACAAGAAACTAACCCTCCATCTCTACAAAAACCTCCCCCCAAAACATATCCCCCCCCCATCTCCAAAAACCACACACCCAGACCACCTCCTAAACCCTAACACCCCTAATGTCTACCCTGAAACTTATTTACCCCCTTATACTCCCACCCACCCCCCCCCCTACCCCAAATACCCATACACACCAGAGCCACCTCGCACTACACATAGATAGAGAACTATAATTTATAGAGTAATATAATCGCACCCCCCCCCCCCCCCCCCCCCACCACTCTCAAGAATACAACAAATAAATAATCATATAAAAACTCTCTCCTCCTCCTCCCGCGCACAGAATACAGCCACCACAACACACCTCCCCTCATCCAACCAAGCCCAGAGACCAGATCGCAAGAATAAGAAGTATACATACAAATAAGATATATAGAAATTATGATACCCTCCCCCCCACTAACCCCCCCCCCCCCCCACCGCCCCCCCCACCCCCCCGCCCCCCCCCCCCCCCCCCCACCCCCCCCCCCCCCACTGCACACACATACACCCCCGTCTAAATGTACAATGCCACTTTGCAGTACCAATAAATGACCCCAAATTGAGCCTAATATGTGAATAGATCGCCCGAGGTGAGATGGTGAAGAATCTAAAATGCAATACATCGATATTCGCGCCATGGCGTCGAGTGAAAAGAGCACGATGATGGAGAGTTTTTATTGTTAAACTGAGGGCGCTACGTTTTTCAGCGCCACTAAGAACTCGTATTAACCTTCCCGCATCCAATCACTATATCGTCTAAGTCTTTACGTTGCATGATCCCAATGTCTGCGTCCCTGATTGGCGAGCGTACTGTCGCTCGCTCCCATCTAAGCGCAATCGGACGCGTAACGCCGCTTTCTAGGTACAAGAAGTAAATGTTTCTGTTACTCTTCACAGCAGGAGAATTTGCATCCGTATGTCGGCACTCGCCTATGTACACTCCTGAAAACAAGCATGAGACTGGGATATCCTTTGTGTTCGATCTTAGTAATTCATATTCAGTATACTGTGGAGCTTATAACTAATATTCTTTTAATGTTAAGAGGGTCCCTATAGCGGTACAATTTTGACTAGGCACGTAATAACTACGATGATATTACCTACTGTGCAGATTTTGCCCAAACAGCGCTATATTGGAGAAGAAGAGCTTTGAAGCTTTACATAGTGGTATAGGTCACCTTAATAGCTCTGGATATACTTAGTTTCAGCTGTATTCCATTACTCATACTGTGCCATTAGTCAAGCCCTATTGGAGTAATTTAGTATAGTCGTACGTCAGTATCACAGTTTGGGCAGTATATTAGTTATTGATGGGTCTTGTTCTCTAAACGCCTAGTAGATTCATGTAAAGCGCTCACAACTACAAGTCATCATCTAGAATGCCATCCATTTATTCTGTAGAACTGCAGTTGTCGCTCCTTCCCTCTTCACCCATTCTCTTACACAGGAACATGTCAATGGGGGTACGATCAGGTACATGAGTCGGATAATTGCCAGAAGAATATAGGTGTCAGCTGTAGTGACTTGAATCTACGGCGATCTGAGATTTTGTCGGTCCTCAAGTATGTTGAAGTCACTATGTAGTTCTGACGCTGGAGAGTGTCATCGCCTAACGTACAATGCTTAATCATCTCTCAGACGTACAGATTTTTTTAGTGATGCAAGACTATACTGTGAAGCATAATGTCATTACATCTCAGATATACGCTCGTAATAATACGTGTAGTGCATCAGACATACAAGCAGTATTGTTTATGCACGATTATACAGTCTTGATTCCACGAAGATTAGCTTCGTTATCTCAACCATAGATATCTTTGAATGCTTGTAAGACTTCGAAGCTAATTTTACGCGAGTATCCACGATCATAATGCTCGAGAGATTTTATCGTAGCTGTCGTACTTATCGCTATATGCGTATGTGAGACTTGTTATTATCCGATGTGTGTAAGACAGCGATGTCATAGTCGGCCCAGACTATTTATAGCAGATTCTGATGTTGCTATTCTAGCAGTCTGTAAGATATTCTTACAAAATCGAAAGCTAGTATATTACATCTTCGCCATCCGATATCACATGGACTTATTTAGTTCACTCTTAGTGACATTTACTTGCTCCTAGCACACCTATCACGTTGTTATAGGAAAGGCAACCGGTACCTAAGCGATCGCTGTTACGATGATTTCCACTAGGGTATAGATTTCGATTGACGCATCCCCCTCTTAAGCTTTGTATCGACATAATAGACTTTGACTAGATATAGAACTGGTCAGTGCCTAATAGGTACTCAGAACAAGCGGCCGTGTTATCTGACGCGTATACTTTCTAAATAACTTCGATGTGGGATTTGATGGCTGAGGGATACTTAGATCTCTCCTGAAGTCTCGCACCGTAATTCGAGTAGCAGAAGACGTGCCCGCCCATGCAATAATTGACATGCCGAACATCTACAATGTGTTAAGGATAGATAACTTTGGTGCTTATGAGGGTGACTCTAACACTTATTATGATCGTTGGTTGCTAGATAGTTTATGTAGCATACAGAGACAGTGCTTATATGTGGAATATGCTCTACCGCTTGGATGATCTAGTAATGCAGTGAGTCATGTCATAGCAAAGTAAACCGGCCGGTCTGCCATTCTCTGCAGTGAGTTCCGTGATTGCGAGCAGTTCACTTAGCGACCTAGTGCAATCTACATCGGTAAGCCACTCGTACCGGACCGGATCAAAATGGCTGGCCTAATCATTGAAGATTAATCTTTATATGCTTTGACGTGGTATTTTTGGCAAGATGTCATAAGATTCTACGGCGTTGATACGGTCTCAGGCTTGTCTCACCGCTCCTATACCGAACTCGAGGACTGGTGCGCTTGTACACCGTGAGTGCTTGTACACTGCAAAATTAGGACCATACTGCGTGTAGACCTGCACTTGAGCATGTACTGCTTATTCATAAAGCGCTTTATTAGCGGTGATATAAGAATTGAGATGTAATGTATTCAATTAGGGCTGCCCTAATGAGCTCTGATGCAAAACGCACTCGCTTACGTTGGACACTTGTGTAAACATCTCTAGATACTGAGCAAATTCTCTTATGTCGTATACTTAATGGCAACACACCCGGGCCGATAAGATATGCTCAACACTCGCAATGACTATTCCCATATCAAGTAGCGTCAAGTATGTTGAATCTTGTCTATTACATAGTCATCCGAATTTGGAGTAATATTATTGTTACTATTGTGGCACATCATTCTAGGAAGGGCAATACTAGAACGTATAATCAGAGTTCAATACGTGGACTGCTGTCTAAAAGATGTTCGGATAGAATGCGATTTTAGATGAATCAGACATTTAATCGTACTATCTACAATTCTATAGACTGCAGGTAGTCAACACTTACATAGAATTATTGTATCTATCAGATATATAGTTACTAGTAGAATCTATGAAGGCATAACTGACTATCGTAACTTGAATGATGCTAAGTAATTGATCGAGAGGTTAGACTAGAACGTTATTTACGCTACGGTCTAGATCTTTTAAATGCTATGTTCACCGCTTTCTTAACGTTTCAAAACAAGGCAGGATATAGCTTTTCTAGAGTTCTGGTAGGAGACGTAGCAGTCATAGACTATGCGCATAAGTCGGGAAATACAATGATATTAACGTCTGCACTGAATGATTATGATACTAGTTACTCTAGCTTTTATATTACACATACTGGTATACAATAATCGAGTAATTGTAGTGCTACATATAACGTAGAAGAGATGTAGTCAATACAAATACAGCTACTTAGTCTGTATGACTCGTCGTGACTGCGATATTAAATCAATCATGTGATTTCTATCAAATACTATGAGTAAGGTGTGAATTTGCTGTACTCGATTAAGTGAAAGTCTCGTCACATAGAAACTCATAATTATTATGACTTGATACTGTTATACTACTCGATTGAGAATTACGAGTACCGCCATATTCTGTTCGGATTGTCCTCACTACTTTAGCTTGAGGATTCCTTTATCTGCAATATAATCACAAAATGTCATAATCAAATGTCCGGGTATGATCTACTGATGCTCACGTAACTGTGCGCTAAGTCCACTATCTGGAGTATGACATAGGTCTGTAGGTGTCATACTGTCACAGAGAACCGGTTCTAGACTTACCCTATATTGAAAATAGAGTGAGCTCAGGTCCGTGTCTTCGTCCTTTAATTGTTCAGAATTCAGTTAATTTGTGGACCACTTAACAGACGCGAATACTCGCATCAATATTATTACAGACCGTGCTAAGTCTCAAATTGCTGCATCTGTCGATGTGCTATCGTACTGATCAGGAGGACTTACGCCGCGCGATCTGACTGAAACATCAGTATACTCAGTCTACAATCAAAATTTGTCCGTGTTATAACAAGTATCACATGTTGTTACAAACTACGAACCTCACTTAATCGCATTGACATAAAGTTTACTAACTACATACGCATCATTGTTATAGGGTCTACTTCTTCGCTACCGTCGACGAGCAGATAACCGTCATCGTATAGATCCTAGGATATATCTATAGTTGCCTGCGACATTTCAGTGTCTGTTAAAATACTAGCCTAGCGCGGTAGTAATGCACACTTTAGGAATACTGCTCTATTGTAATCGCTCTTGGGGCGGAGTCTAGTTCCGTCCCCAAAACTTTATCTATTCGATGAGTTCGAAGACTAGAGTCGTGCCATAGATGGTAACATTTACTTTAATGTAAACGTCAACATATAGTCACATGATTTAAGTACACTGCACCGGCTCATAAGTGTCAAGTAGATCGAGATGCATCATTAGAATCAGACATCACTGCTATTCCAAAAGTGTTTCGTAGTACGGCCTCTGCTCATAGTTCTATTAGTACCCGGGCGACAATACTCATAAGCCCTAGGCCTGTGGATAGGTAATGTATATTTATTGCTTGTCTGCACTACTCGATGTTAAGACGGACCAATGAAAGCTCAGAGCTCCTTGCCTCAATACTGTATACTAATACGTATACGATGCCCAGTAAAGCAGGCAACTTCGCACTAATGGATGGGGACCCCAGTCCACCAGTACGACCCGACCACCCCCCCGGCCCTTGGCCCGAGACTATGGCCCCCTCACTCACCTGCGCTCCAAGTGAACCCCCTACCTCTAAATCTTGTATTTAATGGGTGCATAGTCCACACTCAGTTGGAGCTAGAACGCAGGATTTAGTAACAGGCGGAGTATGTAGAACCTCAGTCGACCAAGACTCCACATATACCTTGAATCCATATGTGCTCAATCGAGTATGACATGGATATCACATTGAGCCACTCTTAATATCACCATTGTAGATAATGAGACTAGGCTCTACGAATAGGCCAATACAGACATTACAGTGTTATCTAGATGCCCGATGGAGAATTAATTTGCCGACTTTGATAGTAGGACAATCCCGACATAGGAACTTAACCTCTAGCGCCCAGGTTGTGTGTGACTGGCTTTGACGTCTATGAAAAATGCGTTATGACGGAGGACGATCGAGTATCATCTGTGCACGCAGTTTGTGTTGCGTGAGCACTCCGTGGTTGCAGCGCGGATTTAGATAGCAGCCTTGTAATATGTCTGTATATATAGAGTACTCGATGAGGCGGGATGTGTACAGGTGTTCGTAGATGCTATAGAGATATACGTACTGCAATAAATACAGAACAAAACCCGCTATGAGATAGTAGGCTGTGTCGGTGTGGAGTACCTAGCTATGTTTTGACGGCAATGATTTAGGCTAATAAGATCTTGATAATTTAGCTGATGCTTCTGTTAGCTGTATCGAAGACGGTCTTGCTAGAGAACGGGGATAGTAGTTACGCAGCATCTGTAGATGAGAGTACATCTTATGCAAAGACTAGTAATGCGAGAAATCTCAGAGCGTTTTACTGCCAACGAATCCGCACGACCGCGAAGGTGTCGCCATATTCGGCTGTCTTAAGTCGGAATCATAGCTTAAGGTCGTAATGCGTTATTGTGACGTACTTGGTCGAGTGATGGAATCTATTCAGACTGGCGATAAACACGTTGAATGAAGGATGTTGAGTAGACTAAATACGAGTTGGTGACGATATATTGATTGAATTACTATGATAGCGGCAGATCTAAGATTCTATCGATCAGGTCATCGCGGATATAGTATCATATTTAGCATCGAGTAGCAAACAACATATAAGCAATCATCATATTCCTGGCTGCCCTGTACTAAAGTACGATGAGTTGCCAGAATCATAGAAAGAAGTAAACTCTGCCTGTAATCGCTGAGAACAGACTACACAATCGCACATGCATTGAAAGTTAAACTTAACAAGTTTCAAGTGATTAGTACGTAGCTATAACAGAGATCAGCGTTATCGTAGGTACTTCCATTATTAGTATACGTTCAACGCGCAGAGTGAGGACCTAGCCCGCCTCATTAAGCTATCAATAGATTGTCTTTCAGCGCCCCTGTGACTATATTATTTGTACGTAAGTCTCTTATGACATATGCGTATTTGACGTATGATAGCAGATCGATCCAAGCAGGACGCTAACCGAGAGGACTTTAGAGTGAAATCCTTGATTCTAACTACCTGAAAGTAACGCCCCCACGTAAGAGCCCCCCATGGTGTGTCTCCCCATTGTCTTCGCATTTCTGGCATAGAATCTTATCCCCAACCCCCAACACCCCCCCCCCAAATAATCGAAAGTGATATTATCCGCTTTGTCGTATAGGATTCTCTCTCTATGAGGTGCTCTTGGTTACTGCACTGGTCTGTTCAGATGTACTGCTGCATCTGTCCACTTGTTCTGATGTCATCATGGATGTGACAGGCCTATGAACGTCGGCGCCAGTATCATTGTACACCTGCATCTCGGTGTTCTACACCGGTCCTTAAGAATAAAGAGATTAGGAGAGAGATGACTTTAATTGTAGACTCCATCAATAATCTCTATAAGTAAGTAGAATCGAACGTTCTAACTGGATTTGATGAAGATCTCCTCTCCAGTTCCCTCTAGATCCCCGGGACACCGTCTCCGCCTCGCCATTTCTAGTCGTACGCACTGGAAATATCTAACAGAAACGGTGGCCCTAGCCGCGCTGGAGACCATATACTGCAAAAAGGTCAAGAGGTCTACCGCAAATGAGATGGAAAGATGACATTGAGCAAAGCGCAGGTCCCATGTGGAAAAGACATACAGAAGACAGAAAACAAATGGGGCCTATATTCAACACGTCATGAATAGATTTTGGGCTATAGATAGATAGATGACTATATGAAAATGTTGAAATAAAACAATTATGCTTACTTCACTTTTTGGTTGAACAACCGCTGTAGCATCTTCAGTGCTTGACACCTTACTCTCTTCGTCCGAATTGTTCTCTTCTTCTAACTTTACAATTTTTTCCGGAGGTTCTAATTTATCATTTGTAATAGGATCACTTTTCCGCTTTTTCTTTTTTTCGTGATCTTTTTCTTTGTCTACCTTCTTGTCCTGAAATAAATACGTACTAAAGTAAAACAGTTACGCAAAGAATCAGACCACGCCCACAACTGGGTAAGGTACCACAAAAGAATTATTACCTTTTTCTTTTCCTTTTTGTCTTTTTTCTTTGGTGATGGCTCCTTTTTCTTCTCAGGTTCCGGTTTTTTAACAGGTTCAACTGGTGGAAGGGGCGAGGGAGATTTTGAGGGCGGCCGGTGGACCGGTGATGCTTCTCTACTGCTCACCTTTACCGAGTCGTTTGACGACTCATCATCCCTAAAACAACACAATAAAATAATAATTATTTCGTTTACCCTAACATTTGTAGAGATCGATTTAATTAATATCTTCAAAGTGACGAACTTACATTGTTGACAAATTAATTATCTTTGCAACTCATAAGTTTAATGACGTCATCAGTATTCCCAACTGTTACTGTACATGTAAAATATGTCGACAACAATATCTAGGTTCTACGTTCCACGTTTAGAAAATAACATTGCGGAGATAGGGCCATGTATTTCTTATGGACGATAGCAACGCGGCGTTGCCACGACACACACAAGCACAATTTAGGGTTGTATAATTTGTATTTTTGTTTCCACAAACATGAATTAAATTAATGTTTTTTAACGTAATTGACCAAAAGTGCCCATTCGAAACAAGAGATGAAAAGTAGGGAAAATGATTTTAATTAGATAAATAGTATTTATAAAAGATAATTTTATTTTATCTTATTTTAATTATAGTAACGACAGTTTATTTGTTTTTCGGTGAGAATACGATATGCCATGAATCATAGAAATCAGTAGAAAATATTGACCGCTTGGAATGCGTATATCTAATTACTAATTGCAACTTAAAATAATACGATGTGCGTATGTCAGCTATTTTATGTCGTTCTCTGACTACATAATGATAATAAGGCTTTTATTTAGTAGTTATTCTGACTTTACAGTTAAATGTTAATTGAAAATGAAAATTCAAAAATTAAGCAAAGGGAATATCTTGGACATCCGTGCAAAAGAGAGTGTCTGAGAGTTTTGGCAACACTGATCTCCATAAGCGTAATGTTATTTTCTTAACTTGAAACAAAGAATAGGTATATCACTTCTCATTGTTTTTAGCAGTGTGAGACAAAGACGAACAATTATTTATGATGAAAGTGTCATGATTGTTTATTTTTTACTTTTATGAATGTTCATTAATATATAGTAAAAAGCTGTTCTTAACCAGAACAACATACAATATTTCGATTTTATTTTCATTTTTTATTTAGCGTTTTTTATTTAAATTAGTGGATCTACTGAATTATTTAAATAGGTACGTCACAACATCTAATATCGAAATTAATGTTGTGAAAACAAACAAACCAAAGTGACTCAAACCGATAGAGTTATTGTGTACTTGTTATTCTTTTTAAACTTGATTAAAACAATTTTTTATAACCAAAATAACAATTTTGCAATATTTATAATATTCTTCTTCTGATATTAGGGGTTGGACCTGTTATTGCCTGTTGATATCTTCCTTTGGTGTTAGTGTAAAAAATGTGAGATAACTTTAGAGGGTCAGGTATCAAGAATGAAGAATCATTAATCAAATGTTCTTCTGGAAATAATAATAATGATGATGACATTTAAGGTAAGAAAAAATGCTTAAATTGCACTGTATTATACTTTCGTCCTATACTATTTAAATGAACATTATTAAATTAACATGGCAAATTAATAATGAACAATATCAATTTTTTACATTGTTCCTCTCCATTTTTCTGTATTTTGTATTTGCAAATCTATTAAATAAGTTTTTATAAAAGTATAAGGAACTATTCTTTGTTTCAAGTTAAGAAAATAACATTACGCTTATGGAGATCAGTGTTGCCAAAACTCTCAGACACTCTCTTTTGCACGGATGTCCAAGATATTCCCTTTGCTTAATTTTTGAATTTTCATTTTCAATTAACATTTAACTGTAAAGTCAGAATAACTACTAAATAAAAGCCTTATTATCATTATATAGTCAGAGAACGACATAAAATCGCTGACATACGCACATCCTATTATTTTAAGTTGCAATTAGTAATTAGATATACGCATTCCAAGCCGTCAATATTTTCTACTGATTTCTATGATTCATGGCATATCGTATTCTCACCGAAACACAAATAAACTGTCGTTACTATAATTAAAATAAGATAAAATAAAATTATCTTTTGTAAATACTATTTATCTAATTAAAATCATTTTCCCTATTTTTCATGTCTTGTTTCGAATGGGCACTTTTGGTCAATTACGTTAAAAAACATTAATTTAATTCATGTTTGTGGAAACGAAAATAAATGTTATTTTCTAAACGTGGAACGTAGTATAGAAGCTTTTCATGCCTTATTATTGGTTTCTTTCAGCCCTATTAAAAACTTCTTTGTTTCGTAAAAAAATATTTGTTGTTTTCAGATACTCAAGAAACTGACTTCTGATGGAGCTTCTTCTTTCTCCTCTTCTGCATCCTTTGTTTCAACGGAGCGAAACGATAGTGCAGGCACTGAAAACAGAGATGCAATGATATCCAGGCCAAGTACTTCAAATCCCCAATCATCTAGTAGCTCAAAATCGAAAAAGACGCAAAACTGAAAGTTCTGTGGAATCCTTTCTTATTAAAACAAGTACAAACCAAAAGGAGACTCTAGACAGGTAATACATTTGCTACAAATTCGCCATTTAAACACGTTGATCATCCACAGTTTATTTGTCTCATAGAAGAACTTAGACCTTGTTACAAGCCACCTAGTCGAAGAGATATAAGCGGACATTTGCTTGACAATATTTATGATGGGGAAATGCAAAAGTCGGTCAGATAGCCAAGCGGGCTGGGCGGCCGGTTCCTCACTCGCTTCACTGCGAGTGGTTCAGAGGAAGTGAGCTCGATACCCAGCTAGGTGTACATAAAACAAAAAGGCTAACGCAGCAGTTTATTCTAGATGAATCTGCGGGCTTACACTATAATATGCTGGTGTCTGATCGGCCTATGGTGGAGCAGTACGGCAAGAGATAAGGGCTTGCGGCTCGGTGATACTCCTCCATAGATCCCTACCGGAAGGGCGTGTGCCGCCTAAATACCGGGTATATACTAAACACGAAGTTAGTATCGTTAAATACTTTTGTAATAATCATTTTGCAAATGCATGTTAGCGCAAATCTTTAAATTTAAAATTTGTTGTACCCATTGAAGTTCGATGGAATACAATGTGTGATTGTCTGGAATCTTATATTAAAGCTTGGTCAACATTGCTTAAAATTTGTAAGGAAAATAGGCAGACCATAGACAAAGATATACAGGCTAAAGTAGGGAATAGCTTGGAGACCTACATACTAGCACCGTAAGCTAGATTGAAGGAGAAATCTTTTCAGAAACCTAATACCTATAAACTTTGATAGTACACAAGGCAACTATCGAACACAGTGATTAATTAAATCTTGCCCAGGTACTTTCGATCAATAGATCATCTTCAGGGGCATCTGAAATAAGCCAAGAAACGTTTTTTTATAAGAAGGAAAATTAATTCACTTGGATAAAAAACTCCAAGTTTATGGTTGAAAAAAGTTTTTATGTGATAAACGTTTATATACTTACTTCGTCAGTTGTGGCCTATCCGACATGAGTAGAATGTCATACATGTAAATTTGGACATAACAATACAATACACAAAGACAAACAAACACTTTAAAATTTTTAAAAAAGGAGAAGCTACATGTTATATAGAAGCCGGAGACAGAATGGGCTCCCGGTCTTGCGGAAATATTGAGATGACATGTGACAAATGACAGCTTGTAAAGGGCAGTTATGTGATCTGCACCTTTCAAAATTCTATGAAACTAAGTATTGACCAAAGGTCCAACTGACACCACTATAGGAAATCAACTGATGAAATATAAAATTAGTATATTTTTATGTAGATTGAATAATCCAAATCTCACACTCAAACCTGTCTATAATAATTAGGATGTTAGTTTGAGAGCGATTGAAGTTGACATAAAGTATGAATGTAAGAAAAGACTAAACAATATATTAGACAGTGGATGGTTGACTACAATAAAATGGTCCACCAAGCGCTATCAGTACTGTAAAAAAGGAAAAATATGAATATGCAGTTAAATTACTAAAAGTTAAAATCAAAATTGAAAGTAAAATATATAAATGTGTTATAATCCAAGTAGTTCAGTTGAATCCACTGTCAATGGAAGAACTTTAAAATTAATATTGAAATGCTCAGTGCATGAAGTCTAAACAGTCGAGCTGGGTCTTCTACGAGGTGAAGCTGTAATAAAGTTTTTAAATATAGGATTAAATTTAGTACAATTTAAATTAATTTGAGTATTAAGACAGTAAGAGTTTTCATTTGTTTCCCTTGTAATCTCCAAATCTTCCAATAAATCCAACTCAAGATAGTTTTTCTTTCTACTAATGTCATGTAAGATAGATGAACCAGAATTGAGTTAAAATTATGGTTGCTGGATAGTAAGTGTTGACCAAAACTTGAAGAATTTGGTCTATTCAAATGTTCAGAGACTCTAGTGGACAACTTTCTGATGGTTCTACCTACATAAGAGGCATCACAATCATCACATTTTAATTTGTAAATACCACTTTTATCAAGTGTATTCATCCTATCTTTGGTATTGATTAAGGAGGAACCTAAAGTGTTATGTGATTTAAAGGAAATTTTGATGTTATCAATTGTAGAAGTAAAAAGTTTAGATATTTTATTGGAAATGCTACTAATATAAGTGAAGGAGAAATATCTGATGTTATCTGAAGCATTAGGTTGAAAAAACTGTGATGAATATGCAAGCTTTTCTGCAATTTTTAGTTTAGCACTATTTAGAAGTTTGTATATAATTTTGTATATAGTTTGTATATACTTAGTTTCATAGAATTTTGAAAGGTGCAGATCACATAACTGCCCTTTACAAGCTGTCATTTGTCACATGTCATCTCAATATTTCCGCAAGACCGGGAGCCCATTCTGTCTCCGGCTTCTATATAACATGTAGCTTCTCCTTTTTTAAAAATTTTAAAGTGTTTGTTTGTCTTTGTGTATTGTATTGTTATGTCCAAATTTACATGTATGACATTCTACTCATGTCGGATAGGCCACAACTGACGAAGTAAGTCTATAAACGTTTATCACATAAAAACTTTTTTCAACCATAAACTTGGAGTTTTTTATCCAAGTGAATTAATTTTCCTTTTTATAAAAAAACGTTTCATGGCTTATTTCAAATGCCCCTGAAGATGATCTATTGATCGAAAGTACTTGGGCAAGATTTAATTAATCACTGTGTTCGATAGTTGCCTTGTATACTATCAAAGTTTAATTATTCGAACATTCAACCTTATATTGACTTAATAACTATAAAGCACTTACCTGGAAAACAGGGTATTATTTTCTATTTTAATTTCTGGCTCCTTAGGAGTCGAAGGGGATCTACTTTTCGGACTACCGAATAAATTACTTTTATCTACTGGTCGATTGGGGGGAGGGGGCGTGGGTTTTTCCTCTTTAATGGTCACTTCTTTAGAATTAGAAGTTGAACTGGGATGTTCTCGATCTTTCTTTCTTCCTTTTTGGAATGTTTCTCTTCTTTCTTTTCTTTGCGGTCTTTTTTCTTATGTTTGTGTTTTTGTCTGTCTTCGGATTCATTCCTTATCTTTTCAGGTTTTTCTGGTTTCTCTTCTTTCACCTCTTCTTTTAGTGGTTCCTTGATAGGTTCTTTTTCTTTTGGTTTTTTATCAGTCTGAAAAAGATTCAGGTTAAAAAAACACATTAAAATCGTTTGACAGTTTGTCGACAGAGGCCTCAAATTATCGTTGATTCACTAAAGAACTTACCTTGTGCGAATTTTGAGAACTTATAGGTGTAGGAAGAGCAGGACTAGATTCCTTCTTAACAACTGAAGATTCTTTTTCCCTAGATTTACTGCTATCTTTACTTTTATGCTCCCGATGCTCCTTATCCTTTTCCCTATCTTTGTGTTTACCTTCTTTGTGATCCCTTTTATCTTTTTTAGATTTTTTATCTTCCTTTTTATCCTTATCTCTATCTTTGTCTTTTTTCTCTTCTTTACTACTTTCTTTTTCTTTATTACTATGTTTTTGTACTGGAGGTGGGCTGGGTTCTCGTCTAGGTGATCTGAAGCAGAAATAAATTGCATATACAAATATTATTTATGAAGAAAAATTATAAGTGAAATATAATTAAAACCAGCAGATACTTACTTCTTCGGACTTGGACTTCTCGGTCTGGAAACTGGTGATTTTTCTCTTTCTTTGTCTTTTTTTGAACTTTTTTCCTTCTGTCGGTCCCTGTCTTTACTTTTATCATCTTTCGATTTTCTCTTCTCTTCTTTATTTCTTTTATCCGCATTTTCCGAGGATTTGTCTTTGGATTTTTCTTTATCTTTATCCTTATCTTTATGGGCACTTTTATTTGATTTTACTTTATCACTTTTGTCTTTTTCAGAAGCTGAAACATAAGAATCGATATAAAAGTGATGGATATAAATGTATTTCAACACAAGATTATAACAAAATGAAGAAATATGCAATCAGGAGACTTTCCATCGATGACATAAGTAAGCTGCAACTCCAAGCTTACTAGAAAGCTACCGGACGATGTTAGGAATATTTTTATTCCGACAATACATCAACAGTTTACCCATACAAATCACCATTACTTGCACTCTTTCTTAAAGCATAGGAAAAATGGGGAGAGATGATCAGAAATCTGGAAATAGGAATCCATTCATCCATTCAAGCCCTGGCCTCCCTGGAAACAGGAATACCATCCAGATTTGTTTTCGTTTCGAATGATAACAACGGCCAAATTTTAGCTTCACAAAAAGTCCTCACACAGTCAGCATCGTCAAGTTATAATTGAGACAGGTACACAAATACCTCTACTTCCATTACACGACCAAGGCGGGATCTGAAAAGAGTCGATTGGACCAAATTCTATGTAGAACTGGATAAATGCATAGAGTGGATATCCTACACTAGCAAAAACTACAGAAGATTTGCTGTTGTTGTAAAAAGCACTGCCAAGACGTGCATACCATGAGGCTACCGCAAGGAATATATTCCTGAGTGGACACAGAACAGCTAAGAAATGTACCAAGCATTTTTGGAAGCCGGTGATCAAGAAATAGTAGATAAGCTACTCCACAGCCTAGATGCAGCTGTTGGGGGCATAAATTTTTAAACATCGAGCAGAAAAAGTTTACACATTACTATGCAAAACTGGGAAGGGCTGCCCCATAGCTATTAATATAATGTCGCCGCTTCACATATACTAATAACATTCATAGCGCCAAAAGAAAAACTTACACGATTAACATCAAACGAGATTTTAAATCCCTTAAACCTTGAGCCAAGGATACAGAATACTCTAGAAAACGGTACAAATACTTTTCAGATGTACTCAACGATCTTAAACCAGGAAATGCTCCACATTTCGATGGTATCCACTCAGTTTTCCACCAGAGTTTTCAATGAACTGTGGCAAGTATATAAAAGTTTGGTTGTCTCGATTCTTTATAGGCATTATAAATGATAAAATCATTTATCCACTTCTTCTTTGTTTTTTGTAAAAATTATCTTTTACACTACAAATACAATAAAAAAAGAATTCTCTAATTTGGTGGAAGATTAATTTTTATTTATATAGCTAATACTAGGACTCCATATGTTGGGCTTTTCTTAGTTTTAGGAAATCATCGATATATTCGGTTAACGATACATTGCTGCTAACAGGTCAGATGATTAAATTGCAACCGTATAAAAAAATGCCAAAGGAGTTTATATCCCTTACAAACCCTGTACTCACAATCGTGAGTGTCATAACAAACTACTAAATAAAGGTCAAAATAATTTATGACTTGGTTTGGTTTAGACCCGAATCGTTCGATTGTGTTATACCGCCTACCTACGTTTTTGTGCGAAAGTGGGTTAGTTTGCAAATGCGACGAAGAATTCGTTTCTCAAAGTAGTGTTTTATTTGTTGTCATGGCGTCAAAACGTAAGTATTTATTTTGTTTATTTTTCAATGTGTATTTTTAGCGTTGATATGGAGATCATATTGTAAAATGGTTATTAATTACAGTGTTTTAAAAAAATTAATAACAAGTTTGAGATCTGGTGACACAGAACCGTATTTAGATGAATGTCATAATTGTGACCTTTGGGTCTCAATGACTACGTAGCTTACCTAAATATGTGTAAATAAATTAAATCTTTTTGTTACAGGTTCAAGTTCCAAAATTAACTTGGACGACATACGAGCCAATCCAGATAAAATCTACGACCTTTTGGATGATGTTGGTTCCGATTTTGAGTTCGAAAATGAAGACGACGATGAGTGGCAGCCTATACTTGAACCTACATGTCCTACTTATGAATCAGAAAATAGTGACTCTGATGATGATAACTCGATAAATGAAAATGTTGCTTCCACAAGTAATGCTTCAAATCCAATCGTAAAAAAGCATGAAAATAAAAACAACAAATGTCATAAAAGAGAGCAAAGTTTTACGTGGGAGAAAAGACCATTTCCTCAAGTAGATGTTTCAAATGAAGTAGTTGGAGATATTGGAGAAATATTATCGCCATTTCAATATTTTGATAAATATTTACCACAAGCATTTTTTGATTTGGCCGCAGTACGTACAAATCAATACTACGTACACAAAAATGGTAATCTACTAAAACCGCATGTAACTTCTGAAGAAATTAAAAAGTTTTTTGGAATGCATGCAATTTTGGGATGCATTAAATATCCACGAATACGTATGTACTGGCAATCAAATTTTAGACTTCCTGTTGTAGCTGATACGATGTCAAGAAATCGTTTTTTTACACTCCGCACAAACTTCCATGTTGAAGATGAAAACAGGGTCTCCAACGAAAACAAAAAAAATAATAAATTGTGGAAAGTTTAACCTATGATAGATTTTATTAGAAAAAGATGTAGAGAAATTGAAAGACCAACGGGAAATTATTCAATCGATGAACAAATGATACCATTTTTAGGCAGATGTGAACTGAAGCAGTACGTCAAAAACAAACCTAGGCCCGTGGGTTTGAAAAATTTTGTAATGACTACTTCGACAGGTATTGTGACGGACTTCGAAATATATCAAGGCAACACATCTGCGTTCGCAAAATTCAAGAATTGTGGCCTAGGCTCCTCTGTCATATTATATTTCGCAAATACTTTACCGAAAGGAAGTCATATATTTTTTGACAGATATTTCAATTCTGTAACATTAATGGAGGAATTAAATAAAATTGGAGTGTATGGAACGGGTACCGTTATGATTAACAGATTACAAGCACCAGCAGCCTTCAAAAATGACAAAGAAATGCCTAGAGGAGAATCAGAACAGTTTACTAGATGTGATAGTCTAATGTGTCTTGTTAAGTGGAAAGACAATAAAGGTGTCCTGATGTTGTCTAATGCACTTAGTGTCGAGCCAGAAGCCGTAGTAAAAAGATGGTGTAAATCTGAGAAACGTTTTGTCGAAGTTTCATGCCCTAATATTGTTAAAACATACAATCAGAATATGGGTGGGGTCGATACATGCGACCAAATGATGGAATTATATAGAACATATTTCAAAACTCGTAAGTGGCCATTCAAAGTAATTCTACACTTATTCGATTTGGCGATAGTAAACAGTTGGATGGAGTATATTAGGGACTGTAGGGCTAATGGTTATCGCAGGAAAGATATAATGGATTTTCTGTCATTCAGGATAGCTTTGGGAGAGTTTCTGATTGGAGGTTTGAGACCTAAAAGAAGTAATAACACAGAAGGTGCAGGGAGCGAAGATGGAGAAAATGAAGACAGATTGGAAAATCCGCAAAAGAAACTGAAACGATTTCCGGTTAAATTATCTGAACAAGATAAACGTTACGATGGTTATGAGCATTGGCCTCTGAATGATGATTTACAAAATCCGCTTTCTTGTCGGTTGGAAGCTTGTCAAAGCCGTTCACGCATACGTTGTAGTAAATGTAATATTTATTTATGTTTAAGTAAAAACAAAAATTGTTTCAAAGCATTTCATACGCGATAGTTTTAAGTAATATATGTTTACATTATGTATTAAGTTGTTCAATATATCTGCTGTCAATATTTTTGAATAAAATATTTTAATATCGTCTTTATTTCTTTATTTTACTCAGAAGTTTTTAAGTCCCAGAGTATACAATTGTGACTATCTCACAATTGTGAGGCTGTTTTGTATGAAACCAAGGCACACAATTGTGAGGGTCCTTAAAAACGTCCTGAGGGTCCTTAAAAAATTCTGAAAAAAATTGAATGTCATTTGCAACCCAAATACAGTAAAAACAAGACATTGGTATCCTTCTGCAAAACCTTATCTTGTCATGGGTCTGTAAGGGATATATATTATATATTATATATATATTATATATATATAATATATATATATATATATATATATATATATATATATTATATATATATAAAATCTTTTTGTTGCTGTAAAATTCCAGTACCTAAACAAATAAAGCAAACACATCATTGACATCTACTTACATTTTTCAGGGTTTGGAGGTTTTGTGGGGGGAGGTTCCTTCGGTTTGGGGGCTTCGGGAAGTTTACTAGTCTTTTTAATTGGAGGACCGAAAAGGTTTTCGAAGTCGGTCGTTCTTGGTTCGTCTAGTTTCATTTTGTGTTTTTTTGGGACATCCGACGTACCTAATTTTGGCCTACTACTCATTTGATTTTTGTCTTCCTTTATACTATTTTCGTGATTTCCTTCCTATAAAAAAAATAAAACAAACTAAAGGCTCAGTCAAAATATAAAAATTGATGTTGATATAAGACTGAACTAGTCGTATAAACTGTTATATGTCTCCGAACTGTGACGGGCATTTTTGTAGTTATAATGTATTAGGTATACAGATTGAACGAATTTAAAACGGATCATACAATTTAATATATGTCTGTTTGAACTGCATTTGAAATAGTGGACCAATATAAAACTTGGACAAAAATAAATCCATACCTGGGTATAGACATTGTATAAAATATCGTTTAACTATCTTACTCGCAACAATGTTGTTTGCGTAAAGGAAGCGATAATAGTTCAGGAAATGAAGCTCGAAAAAAGATAAAACTTCGCAATTTTTTCGTCCTGCATGGATTGAGTTGAAATTTTAACAGAAGGTAGCTGATAGCCCAAGGATCAAAATTGTCCATGGTTTTAGGGGTGAAAACTACCCCTAATTGTCAAAAATTATAAAATAACATATTAAACTTGAATATGGGTAAAATTTGGTTTGAATTAATTAAATAATGATAGTTTCGTGCTTTTGAATAAAGTTCCATGATATTTCAACCCTTAAAAAGCGACCCTTGTTAGAGATTAATGTAAAAAAGTAGTAATGCGAAGAAAATGATTTCGCCTTGGAACGATTTGCATAAAAATTTGGAATTAAGCTCAACTCACCCTCTGCTTTATAGTTTATGTCATGCCGATGAACCCTGATTGTTCTTAGGGGTGAAAACTACCCCTAATTTTCAAAAATTGTAAAATAACATTACAAATCTTAAGATGAGTGAAATTTGGTTTGGATTAGTTAAATAGTGATTTTTTTATATTTTAAAATACAATTTCATACATTTTCAACCCTTAAAAATCAATTGTTATGAGTGCTATAGGTGAAAACAATTTTTTGCCAAAATTTTGCAACTTTTCAACTCTTGAAAATCACCCTTTACAACATTGCAGTTTTTATAAACTAATTTAATAGATATAAATTGAAAAAAGTAGAATTAAATACAAAAAAAATTATCAACATAAAAAGGCACCATATATTCTTATACATTTACATAAATAGTTGAAAATATTTACATTTATAGGTAAAACAATTATAATATTAATTTTATTCGTCATCAATTACACCTTCATCGTAATCTATGTCATCCTCATCTTCTTCAATTATTGGTGGACTATTATTGCACCCTTCACCTGAGCACCCAGAACAAGTAGAGTTACAGCATAAACCAACTTTTCTGCACCCACATGAAACGCCTCATCCTTTTTTGCATTGGCAAAAAATAATTTTCAAAAGTTCATCGGGTGCAGGTTGTTTGTTCATGCGTACGGGTAATAACAAACCATCTTTGGAATACCATCCCCAATCTGTTGCTCTGATATTTTCATTGCCAAGCCATAGACATATGAGCAGATGTTTTATTCTGTTGTATGGGATTTCAAAATAAGAACGCTTAAATTTCGAATGTATAACGCCCCACTACCTAATATACCGGTTTTGTAGATTATTATGCTCCGAAATGTACTGTACTATACTAATGGAATTTTCCGGAAAAAGAAATTAATTGGTTTTTTTACGTATTCCATTTCATTCATTTCCATCAAAGTTATTTTTTTAACGTATTTCCATCATTTTTAACGATAGAGTGATTCTTCAAAAACGATTTTGTAGAGGTTTTTAAGAGCTACAAGGATCTGTGAATTAAATCATTTTGGAACCCTTGGTTTTTAAATAGGGTGAGTTTAAAGGGCTCGAAAAATATGGTGCTTGATCGTAAATCGATGCTTTAAACGGCTATATCTCGCCAAATATTCATTGTACAACAAATCTAAATAAAGGAAAAATTTTAGTCATTAAAAAAGCTACAATTTAGTACATTTTTATTTTTTTCATATATTCAGTATTTTCGGGGATATTTAAAAAAAGAAGGGTAAAAAATATGAAATTGTAAATCGTTTCTCGCTTTATGCTGTACTTTTTCTAAAACTAAGCATTTTAAATGGGTCAAACTTCTTGGACGTATTAACAATACATGTACAAAGAGAATTGCAGAAGGGTGAAGATCGATTTTAATTATGGGGCTGGTTAGGGGGTTGTTTTCATCGATTTTTTCGTAAAAAAATAAGGTATTGACCTTATTTTCATCATAACTCATTCAATTTTTGAGCTACGGTCTTTTTTTTATGATAGGTCTATTTATGCTCTTTAAAAAAGGTTCTGTGAGTTTTCTTCCAAAAATGCATCATTTTCCCGATATTTGACTTTGAATCTTACAAATTTGGCATTTGAAGAAAACCGCTGAACATTGATAGGCCGTATTTCGGTTCCTGTTATATAGCAAAAATATTTTAAAAAATGAATTGTATTTGTCTTTTTAAAAGCTACAAATTTGTTCTCTACAATTTTTTTTGCTAAAATGCACAATTTTCGAGTTATTCGCGAAAAATCGATTAAAAACGTCGATTTTTTCGTCTAAAAGTTGTTACTTTCAATCGCGAATAACTTGAAAAATATCAGTTTTAAAAAAAATGTATAGAACATTTTTTGTTTAGAATCACTTTTTTAATCGAAACCTGTAGTTAAAACGTAAAAAATATTTCACCCCCGAGATGGGGTGGCAACCACCCCCAAGGCTTTGGCGCACTTTGGTTCGATATAGATTTTGATCCTTGGCTATTACCTACCTTCTGTTAAAATTTCAAGTCAATCCACGCAGGACGAAAAAATTGCAATGTGAAATGCTTCATTTCCTGGACTATAAGTGGTTTGACAGCATAATAAAATCGTAGATTTATGTGTAGCTTTCAATTTTTATGATTTCAGAATCCAGCAGCCCGCTGAAGTATTGGATTTTTATAATATAATTATTTGACAACCTTTTGTTGGTCAACCACCTAAAGCAGAATTGAGCCGAAATACATAATATTTCGTATGTTCCGAATTTATTTCGTTAAATCTGTATAGTATAATACTCAATAGTATTATACCCAAAAAACCCATTTCCAACCTGGCTGGATGATATGTAAAATTTCAAATACTTACCCCTATTGCTCCTCCTTTCAACAGCTTACTTCTAAATTCTTCAGACGGGCTGGAAAATGTGTGCTTTTCTTTTTGTACTCTATGAATTGAAGGGCCTGACGAATGAAGATACAGATCATAATCAAATGTTATCCTTTTCGGTTCTTGATTATTTTTCAGGTATATATCGATAGGAATGATAAAACCGGCATAGCCAGAGGCTCTTATCGAAAACGGCGGATCCTTTACAACTAAAAATAAAACATATTTATTTTATGATACACGGTTGAAATTTTAGTTTAGAACATGATAGCAGTACACTCTAAAATATTTTACATACAAAGTTATTCCGTCTAGTAAAATGAAAAGATCGGAATATATCTTATATCGTCAGTCCCATCAAAAAGTGGCGGCAATGTTAAATATAATAATTATTTGAATTATTTTAATACATAGAAACAAAGGTAAAGGATTCCCCAAACCGACGCGAAACTTTCGCAGCGGAATCGCGGCGAATCGTAAGGCACGGAGACTTAAAGGATTCCCCACACCGACGCGAAACTTTTGCGACGCGAAACCGTTGCGGAACATTCGCAGGCGGAGCACTATTAAATTCATTATATATAATATATAATGAAAACTACCATTTTCTCCTAGAAATGACCCTTATTATCCAGACTTTATCCTTTTTCTTTATATTTTTATAATCTTCTGTCACTTAAAATCATAAATTATAGGATATTGTTTCACAATTTCAATTAGTTTTTCTGTAACAGCCATTTTTAAGGATTCCCCACACCGACGCGAAACTTTTGCGACGCGAAAACCGTTGCGGAACATTCGCAGGCGGGGCACTATTTAAATTCATTATATATAATATATAATGAAAACTTACCATTTTCTCCTAGAAATGACCCTATATTATCCAGACTTTATCCTTTTTTTCTTATATTTTTATAATCTTCGTCACTTAAATCATAAATTATAGGATATTGTTTCACAATTTCAATTAGTTTTTCTGTAACAGCCATTTTAATAATTCACGCGAAACTATAACTTGCTATAACTGCAGCGGAAAAAACCGTGCATGCAGCGTTTCATGAAACGTCAACGCTGTTCTGCCGCGACCGTTCCGGTTTCCGTCCGAACTTGTCTGAACACATGCATTAAGTCGCCGTGCCTTACGATTCGCCGCGATTCCGCTGCGAAAGTTTCGCGTCGGTTTGGGGAATCCTTTATGCATGTGTTCAGACAAGTTCGGACGGAAACCGGAACGGTCGCGGCAGAACAGCGTTGACGTTTCATGAAACGCTGCATGCACGGTTTTTTCCGCTGCAGTTATAGCAAGTTATAGTTTCGCGTGAATTATTAAAATGGCTGTTACAGAAAAACTAATTGAAATTGTGAAACAATATCCTATAATTTATGATTTAAGTGACGAAGATTATAAAAATATAAGAAAAAAGGATAAAGTCTGGGATAATATAGGGTCATTTCTAGGAGAAAATGGTAAGTTTTCATTATATATTATATATAATGAATTTAATAGTGCTCCGCCTGCGAATGTTCCGCAACGGTTTCGCGTCGCAAAAGTTTCGCGTCGGTGTGGGGAATCCTTAAGGAGGAAACACTTGCTGTTTCTCTGTCAGGCTGTTGTCCCTTGACTCTCGATGTTGGCGGCATAATTCCACCTATTCATTTCGTCTTCAGATAGCCATTAGAGCGGTGTATAAGAATTAAGTGATGTAGTTGCCGCTGGGTGCCTTTCAAATGAACAAGTAAAAAAATGCAGAGAGGACAAAATGCCAATTATAAAAATGAGCAGATTCACACCAGGAATAAAAAATTGATACAACAAAAATAGTCTGCGAAGCAGAATATGAATTTTATGTTCATTTTTGAGATCATTCAGATCTTTTTATAAACAATAACTTTTTTTCACAAAACTAAAAATCAAAAAGTTTCATATATGGTGCAGACTTTATTGGACACACTGTATATACATATTTTATTATATAAAGTAGAAGAGAAGTGTAGAGTTGTGTTATAGAGGTAGCACTTTTATCGGAACGACCCCATCGAGCGTCATAGACGGGAGATGGTTCTTGATAACTAGTCCTCATAAGACAACTAACTCTCACTTATATCTCCATGTGCCACACCCCGGACAACTGCGTTGGTCTGCAGGCTAAACTTGAGGGTAGCCAGATATGGCGAAAATTCCACCGAGCGATTGCCGATATAAGCAATCCTCCGTTTACTGGCCAACAGCTTCGGGTGGAGGAGCTAGTAACTAGTAGGGCACCCCTTTGTCCTGGAGTTGGGTTCAAAGGAGGAAGAACCGTGGAAGCGGTCAACGGCATAGAGATGAGGAAGAAAGATTGGGACAAGACACCTCATTAAAGATCCGGATTGGATAAGTCCTAGTAGAAGCACCCCAATCGGAACTTGGGAGGAGCAGTTACAGTATAACAAAAATATTAAAATGCAAAGAAGACATCAGAATAGGCACATGGAACGTGAAAACCATGGCACAGGAAGGTAAAATTAATAATGTAATACAAAAAATGGCACACATGAAATTAAATATTCTAGGAATAAGCAAAATGCGTTGGCCAGGTTCAGGAACCGCAAATATCGGAGAACACCGCGATTAGTATTCTGGAACAGATAACGGCAAACATGAATTAGGTGTTGGCATTATATTGGCAAAAGAAGTGGCAAAATCTGTTGACAACTTCATCCCAATCTCAGCAAAAGTGATGCTCATACAACTGAAAGCAAGACCAATCGACGTCAATATAATTCGTGTATGCTCCACAACAGAAGGAACAGAAGAAGAGGTAGAAGAACTATACCATAGCATTAATCAAGTCGTGAAAAGGTTGAAAAAGCAAGACCTAACAATTGTCATGGGTGACTTCAACGCCAAAAAGTTGGGGCCATCAAAACATCATCTGCTGTTGGACCTTTGGACTAGGAAACTGGAACGATCGGGGAGATACATTGGAGATTTTTGCGGAAGCAGATCAATTAGTAATAATGAACACCTGGTTTAAGCTAGACCCAAGGAAATTATACACCTGGAAATCTCCACAGGATTCTGTGGGAGGGATTGTAAGAAATCAGATTAATTACATGCTAGTAAATAAGAGGTATAGGAACAGCTGTACATCTGTCAAAACATACCCGGGGTAGACATAAATTCTGATCATCTACCAGTTGTAGGTCATTTCAAAGTTAAAATGAGGATTACAAGTAAGTCGATGAACAAGTATGATGTTAGAAAACTGAAAGATTCCAATGTTCGACTGAAGGTGAACGAAAACCTCAATACAAAGGTGCAAAAATGCAGAAATGCCGTTGGTACGAGGGAAGCTTTATTTAGCCTGCAGGTATTGTTTCAGAAATGTAGAGATGTCAGCTGTGATGTTTTTGCATGCCTGATTGACTACAAGAAGGCTTTCGATAGAGTCAAGCATGAACAAATGATGGAAGTGCTGAAGAGAACAGGGATTGATGAAAGAGCCTAAAAATAACAGCTAACTTGTATTGGAATTAATCAGCGGTGCTCCAAATAGATGGAGAATATACATTTCAGGTCAAAATTTTAAGCGCAGTGAGACATATTGAAGGAAAAAGTGCCCCAGGACGAAGAAGAATATTCCAGCTATTCCGTTGAGAATATGGTATAGAAAGGCCTCAACACAGCTATTTCGTTTAGCGACCAACAAAGTCATCATAGCCAGAATGATCGCCAACGTTCGGAACGGACAGGCAGCCTAAGAAGAAGAACAAGAGAGAACGAGTTGATATATATATGATGGTGGCGATTTTGTTTGGTGGTGAAGGTTTACACCAAGGTCTAAGCCTATGTCTCTCAGAATCTAACTTAATAGACTTCGACTTATCAGAAATAAAAAAGAAAGACCTCAAAGAAAGCCGCAATCTTCCAAGGATCATATTGCCCTGGTTCGGCTGGATTCGGCGGTAAAACCAGCCGGCAAAATCCGAAGCAATGTCTGCGCTAATACAATTTGAAGAAGCCGCACAAAAAAATGAACTAATTCTATAGATTTTCTACACTGCTTACTCTATGCAATGCTTACTGGAAGGTGATTATAAACCTAATAGTCAGATCAATAAAATGTAAGTGTAGGAAGAATGTCTTTATATATAATTAGGCCATTAAAATAGTAATAAACAGTGTGTAGTTACGCAATGAACAAAACTTAACCTAACCTGCGAGAAGATAATCCTAGAGTGTGGAATAAATTCAAGTTTGTAATAAAATAATCCGCAACAAGTTGGAAGCAACCAATAATTCATACCTTGTTCCTTAAAAATATGTAAATAACAAACAAAAAAAAGTTAACGGTACAAAAACTCTTAAAAACAACATTTATTTCACTAACAAACGTAAACATCTATAAAATCACAAATAAAATCGCTGAAATGTATCGTATCCGTAATAAGGTATACCTAGGAAACGTATTGTCAAATAATAAAAAAGAATAATATTATGTTTGGGTAGATTAGCATATTATTGTAGTGGATGGAGACAAAAACTAGTCACACGTTCAGGCAAGTGCAGGTCTGGACTGTCCGCAAGTTCTGGTTTTTAATCGAGAGCGTAGCAAAATAGAAATATAAATTTTGACAATGAAATGACCAACTGTTTTTACTCGAATTTTAATTTTAATTATTCAACTGGCTCTAGTTTAGGGACATGGATCTCAATTATGAAACAATATTATACCAGATTGATCGATTAGTTATCGAAAGAAGAAATATGAACTATTAGACCAGAGAAATTAGTAAAATAAAAGTCTCTTTCGTGACCTTACAAAAGGTATCTAAAAACTGCTTTGATAAATTTGGTGATAGCAATTATAATAAACAAAATATGCTAAAGATGAAAACGTCATTTTTTACTCACAAACAATATATAAACAATGTAAAGTAAAGACCGGTAAATTATATAAAAAAGATGACACAATTTTACGGAAAAAGCATGAAAATCTTTTATTTTTGAAAATTATTAATAACTAAAAATGGGAGCAATATTATATACAGTGCTAGTCAAATAGTCTGCATATTATGTCTGCAGTTGCCGTAAATAAATTAAACCTGGTTAATTTGTCTATGCACACCAGATAAAGTGTCACTGAACAGCACTGGTTCCGACTAAAACATGGCTGATTCCGTCTGCGCGAACGAGATGCGCGTACTTATTTTTTCAAGTAGAGTA